TCCATGGCCATGGCCTTGTCCATGGGCTCAGGAGTCCCCAAGTCTCACCATACTTCAAGTCAACCAGCTCTCACCATACTCCAGGTCAATGGGGGTCTATGTAACTTGATCAGATTCAGCCCACCTCTTCACTTCTGCTTTCTCTCCACTTCCACTCACCAGTAGACCAACATGGTCACCAGCAAGTTTACATACCTGTTCATATATTCCCTTTGAGTTTCAGTCTTGGGAGGGGGTTTGTCCTGAAGGGACTTGATTGCTTGCCTTGATGGCTCCCCAGCAAACAACTTGCTTGTTCTTGTAGTAGCCAATCATACTGCCATTTTTGTTTTTGTTTTTTCCTGCTGGTCTTTCTTTGAAGAGGTAGCTCCTGTTAGGGATGTCCTCTAGGATGAGATTGAGATCCCATACCTCTGCTTTGTAGCCTGGGGCCAGGACTGCTTTGCAGACAGGGAGAAGCCTCCTCCTCCAGTGCTGGGCTGAAGGAAGGCTAGAGAGGACCTCAGAGCTGATCACCACAGGGCATCTATGGGCGCCAACTGCCTGGGGCACAGAGTGCAGAGGCCTTGTCCTCACCAAGTTCTCATTTCAAAGGGATTTCTGAATAGACTATTATTTTTTCTCCCCCCATTTGGCAGTGGAAGTGATGAGATGTCCGCCCCTGAGATTAATCAGATAAGACTTCCCAGAGCAAGTAGTATCAGAAGGCCCGAGGTAAGGAGAAGATTAACTTGGATCCTAAATCTGGTGTGGCCCGACAGCTAGGTTCCTGCATCTCGTCACAGGTGAATAGAGTTGCTCAGAGGTCATCCTTTCCATTCCCCCTGCCTCCAATGGAGAGGGTTCTCAAACCAGCCCATGGGCTTCCCCTAATCCTAAAGCTTTTTCCAAGGAGAAAACTATCATTGCTGCTTAGCTTTCTCATCCAGAGCCCTGTGGACTTAAACTGGAAGTTCTGTGTTCTATCTACCTTAACCCCTCTTGCTATAAGGGACAAACAGTAAGTAGAGTGAGGTCCAGAGACAGGAACTCAGGCTAAAATAATCTCCAGAGGTCACCAGGATACACCAGCAGTTCTAGAAGCAAAAAGAAGTTGGCTGGGACTCCCTTTCAGATAAGTATGAAGGAGGCAGCTCTGCTATGTGCCGAGGAGCTGGGCTAAACAGAAATCCCAGCGCTGGGAGGATGCTGGGCGCCTTCTCCTTTTAAGGCAACTTCTGAGCTCCACAACCACACGAGCTGCAACAAGCCCCAGCCCCACTCATTCCTGGCTATTTGGAGGAAACTGGTGATTAATCAGTGCTTTCTCCCACCCCTAGTATGTTTTTCATTAGGTTAAAAGGGTTGGCACCTCTCTTCAAGAATAGGCACATGGCAGATCCAAGGACCCCAGTGTGGTGAGGTACCCCAGGAGCCACAGGGCATAATCCTGGATGCAGACAAGGGGGAGAGGGTGAGACTTGTGTCAGTGCCAAAAGAGAGTTAAGATGTGGGAAATGATGTTGGTGGGGGAGGGTTGAAGTTCTGGTCTAAAGGGGGCTGGTTTGGCTGAGCTGGGAGAAGGCCATGGGTGTGCAAGGGGATGTGAGCAGCAGGGGTCAGGCGCCCAGAGAGGGATGCTAGGCCAGCAGAGGGGAGCACCTTTGCCCCTATCTGGGAAGGTCAGAGAAGGTTACCATAATGTTGTCACTGCCAGTGAGACAAGTGGTAAACTGCTTTTCCTGAGCTTGCTGTGTGACATTCCTTGAATGATCATTTCTCTGGACCCTGAGTTTCCCTCTAAGTGAACTCTGTGAGTAGCACAGGAAGCCTACAGAGGGCACTGGGTGGTGCAGAATGGGCTGGGGGAAATGGTGAAGTTTACACATTTGGGGAAAGGAACAGGCAAGTCTCTCACCTCCATTCTCCTGAAGTGGAGAGAACTCAGACTCTGAACTCGGAGAAAGGAGGAGGGAATGAATCCCCTGGACACACTGTGAGCCCATCATGATCCACCCTGAGGCACCTCAGATGAAAGGGCTGGGGATCTACTTCCAAAACTTTAACCACTGGAAAGCCCGTGGAGCATCGTTCTATTCTGACATGCATGGGGTCATCATGAGTCAGAACTGACCCAACAGCAAACAGTGTGATACACTGTGGTGGTTTGGGGATAGAATTTTTGCCTGCCATATAAGAGACCCAGGTTTGATTCCTGGCCAATGCCAAGTTTCAGCAAAACTTCCAGACTACAATTGTTGCTGTTGTCGTTAAGTGTCTTCCAGTCAGTCTGATTCATGGCGACCCTGTATGGGGTTTCTGAATCTTTGCAAGAGCACATAGCCTCATCTTTCTCCTGCTGAGCAGCTGGTGGGCTCGAACTGATGATTTTATGGTTCACAGTCAGGTGCTTATCCTATAGAGCTACCACACTCCCTTCAGACTAAAACAGGATAGGAAAGAAGTCTGGTGATTTACTTCTGAAAATCAGCCTTTGAAAGCTCTATGGATGGATACAAAGGTCTCATCTTGTTGTGCATGGGTCACTAAGAGCAAAGGGACCTTCTTGGTGACAGCTGACCAAACAAAGGGCTGACCCATTAGGTCTCCTCCATCTGCAGTCTCTTCACATATTCCCTTTATACTCTTCCTTTCAAATCAAGGTACAGAATGGCCACCTCAACTTTTGCACCCAGCCCTGAAGGGTCAAACCCAGTTCCCTGGGGGCCAGCATGTGAGAAGGAGCTGTACCACCACAGCCCCTCTAAGTTCTGAGGAGGACAGGGGTGCAGGAGGAGGGAAGGGGCGCATTCCTAGGCCCTGTCTCATCAGGCCCTGTGCCCCTTGGCTGCCTGTTGTGATTTGAGCAGAGGAGCCAAGAACTTGAGCTGCTAAATAAACACAGGGACTGGTCCCTGAAGGCATGTGTTTGTAATACAGGTACAAATTGTTTCCAGAGGACCAACTCAGCTCCATTCCCTTTGGGAGGGTGGGGGCAGGGAAACACTACAAGGCTCAGAAATAGAGGGAATGCTGCTTTCTCTTTCATCTTTCCCCTCTTCCCACACCAAGCTGGACACTCTTGGAAGACAGACAGTGCTTCACCATGCAAGCCATAGTCTTTTTCTTCAATACCCTTCAGGGAAGGGCATCCTGTGAGGCCCTACTTGCTCTGGGGTCTTTGTTCAGTTGGGCAGTGCAATCTAATAGCAAGTCCCAAGTCCTGCTGCTCCCACGCCAGACCTCTGACGTTCTCAGGGAGGCTTCAGACTTCATGGAACTTTGTAGACTTAGAGCTGGAGCCCTGTGGAGATTCAGGGCAGTGCCTGCTGTGTGTGGCAGCTCTACTGACTCTGTCCCTGAACAACCTGTCAGATCTGTGTAGCCAACACAGAAGTGCAGAATCCTAGGTCCCAAATCTGGCAGAGTCCTCCAGAGGTTGGCTGGCCCAGGGGGAGCCAGGACTGACCTCAGAGGTGCTTGCCTTTAGCATAGCTATTACTGGAAAAATAAGGACAGCATTGTGAATTCACATGAAATATATATAGGTGTGCCCTTCAGTCTATTAAGTCACCCTGACTTCTTTATGGCGGTTGTTACTGTTAAGTACCCTTGAGTCGGTTCCCACTCATAGCAACTCTGTCTAGGGTTTCCAAGGAATAAGATGGTGATGGTAGATTGTTGTTATTCTTGGTTGCCCTTGAGTTAGCCCCTACTGTCCCCCCAGCTCACGACAACCCCATACACAAGGGAACAAATTGCTTCCCAGGCCTGTGCCATCTCCATGACCTGCTGTGGTTTGAACTTATGTGATCCATGAGGTTTTCATTGGCTACTTTTTGGAAGTAGATCACCAGGACTTTGTTTCTAGCCTGTCTTAGTCAGGAAGCTTTGGTGAAACCTGTTCAGCATCATAGCAACACACAAGTCTTCCCTGACAGGTGGTGGCAGCTGTGCTTGGGGCGTATTGACTGGAAATTGAACCTGGGTCTCACTCATGGAAGGGGAGAATTCCACCATTGAACTATGAATGCCCTTGATGCTGGTAGGCAAAATAATGCCCTGAATGGTAATATGAAATGTTAGCAACTGTTACTGGTTCCGGCACCCCCCCACCCCCAAGGCTTTTTCTATTGGCAATGTATTGGCTTATCAAATTCCAGTATCTCAGAACCACTGACCTAATTCATTGAAAGTAGGGCCAAGGTGAGGTGAGTGAGGCATTTGGCTCAAGCACAAAATGGAAGGGCAGGGAGCAAAAAACTCAAGACCAGAGATAATACTGTATTTTGAAAAAAATCAGAATAAGTGAAAATTCCCATAATGGGCAAAGAAATTTTTAAAACACAACATCATTTGGGACCAAATGCCACTAGGGAAGGAGTCTTGGTGTGGCACCATGGGATAAAGGACTGGATCTCAAGGTTGGTTTGAACCACAAGGTCGGTGGTTCAAATTCACCAGCTGCTCCTTGAAATTCTACACAGGGTCACTATGAGTAGAAACCGACTCAACAGCACTTAACAACAACACTAGAGAAAGGGCAATTTCAATGGTTAATTCTAGCTGTCATTTGATGATAGCTAATTTTCAAAGAAAAGGTAAAATGTTCCCTCTGTGGCAATACCTCATTTATTAATTCCACAAACACATATTGAGATTTCTGGTGTATAGTCCTGCCTCAGACTCCAGTGTGGCTCAGCAGAGCACTACTGGAAGGATTCTCTCTAAATCACTCTGGAAGGGAAGGACAATGAGAACAAACTGCCACACCTCTCCAGGAGTTCGTTTTGGTCTCTCATGATCCTGAGGCTTTGAGTCTGCTCGCAGTCCCTTCTATCAGCCGGAACCCAGGTATCTCATATGCTGCCTTCAGTGGGGACATGCACATTACCCTCCCAAAGCTGGCTGTCGTCCTGAGGCTCAAGGGCAGTTGTATAAGTGTTCCTTATGCTTGTCCCCATGATTATGCCTTTCCCTCTGCAGCTCTTAATGTTTATTTTTCTTTTCTTAACTCCTAGGAAAGCAAGCAAGTAGAAACCAAGACAGATGCCAAGAATGGAGAGGAAAGGGGCAAAGATGCCAGCAAAAAAACCCTGGGCCCCAGACGGGATTCTGACCTAGGGAGAGAGCCAAAGAGGGGTGGCCTAAAGAAAACCATCTCAAAAGACAAAGATGAGACTGATAGCAAAATCAATGAGAAGCCTAAGGAGGAAAAGGTCATCAGGGGCATTGACAAGGGCAGGGTCAGGGCTGCAGTGGACAAGAAGGAGGCAGGCAAGGATGGCAGAGGAGAGGAGAGGGTCATGGCCACAAAGAAAGAAGATGAGAAGAAAGGGAGTGACAGGAACACAGGTCCTAGCAGAGACAAAGATAAGAGAGAGGAGATGAAGGGAATAACCAAGAAAGAGGATAACGGGAAGGTAAAGGGGGAAAGTAGGAACCCGGACACCAAGAAAGAGGATTGGAAAATGAAAAGAGAAAGTGGGGACACAGGCACGAAGAAGGAGGATGAGAAGGCAAAGAGAGGAAGTGGAAACACAGAAGCAAAAAAGGAGGATGAGAAAGTTAAGAAGAATGAGTTCCAAAACAAAAAAGAGCCCAAGGAAGAGAGCAAGACCAAAGCACTAGAGGGAAGCCCTTCAGAGAAGCAACCCCCAAGTGGCCCTGCCAAGCCCTCTGAAGGATCTGCCAAGGTGGAGGAGGAAGCAGCTCCCAGCATATTTGACGAACCTCTGGAGAAAGTGAAGAACAATGATCCAGAGATGACTGAGGTCAATGTCAACAACTCAGATTGCATCACAAATGAGATCTTGGTCCGGTTTACTGAGGCTCTGGAATTCAACACCGTGGTCAAGGTGTTTGCCTTGGCCAACACACGAGCTGATGACCATGTGGCCTTTGCCATCGCCATCATGCTCAAAGCCAACAAGACTATCACCAGCCTCAACCTGGACTCCAACCACATCACAGGTAAAGGCATCCTGGCCATCTTCCGAGCTCTCCTCCAGAACAACACACTGACTGAGCTCCGTTTCCACAACCAGCGACACATCTGCGGTGGCAAGACGGAAATGGAGATTGCCAAATTACTCAAGGAGAACACCACCCTGCTCAAGCTGGGCTACCATTTTGAGTTGGCTGGACCCCGAATGACCGTCACCAACCTGCTCAGCCGCAACATGGACAAGCAGCGACAAAAACGGCTGCAGGAGCAAAGGCAGGCACAGGAGGCCAGTGGAGAGAAGAAGGATCTGCTGACGGTGCCCAAGGTGGGTGCCCTGGCCAAGGGTTCTCCCAAGCCCTCACCTCAACCATCTCCAAAGCCCTCTCCAAAGAACTCACCCAAGAAGGGGGGTGCTCCAGCCGCCCCACCACCACCTCCACCTCCCTTGGCACCACCCCTTATCATGGAGAACCTGAAGAACTCTCTCTCACCAGCTACCCAAAGGAAGATGGGAGACAAAGTGCTCCCTGCCCAAGAGAAGAACTCACGTGACCAGCTACTGGCCGCCATCCGCTCCAGCAACCTCAAGCAGCTCAAGAAGTTAAGTAGTTGTGGGCGTGGGCAACAGTGATGCTGCTGGGCAGTGGCCTGGAGGAGAGGGTGGGCGCTGCAAAGGGGAGGGAGGCAGAGGAAGCTCATGTCAGGCTGCAGGTAGTATTCAGGTTCCAGAGTCTACAGGGGACTTCAGATAATGTCATCCACCTTCCTACCTCCGGGCAGGGACACCTATATGTCACTTTGAAAGGAGACTGTCCTTAAGGAATGTCCTTCCACATCTCTCTCCGCACTTCTCACTCCTGCAGTTAAACCTGTTTGTCCTGCAGCTGGAGAAACACCTCTACATAGCAGTGTACCTTAGACCCTTCCTTTAGGTCTTCTCTTCCCCACCATAACCAGCTGACTTCTACAGGTCAATTTATCCCAAAGGCCTTTGGGAAATGTGCTGTTTGGGATAGTTCTATCTTTGACTAACAAGTGCTATGGACACATGAGCCCTACTTCTCAAAGTCCTGCCTCTCTAGAAGCCCTATCCAGATAACAAGGACATCGACCATCTGTCTATATAACTGGATGGTGGCAGATCACCCTACTCCCACAACATCTTTTGGGACTAAGTACCACTAGAGAAGGAGTCCTGGTGTGGCACTGTGGGATAAAGCACTGGATTGCAAGGTCGGTTTCCATCACTATGTCGGCAGTTCAAACTTATCACCTGCTCTTTGGAAACCCAATACAGGGTCGCTATGAGTTGGAACCAACTTGCCAGCACTTATCACCACCACCACCACCAGAGAAAGGCCCATCTCAATTGTAATTCCAGTGGTCCTTTGATGAGATCTAATTTTCAAAGAAAAGGAAAAATGTTCCCTTTTTGGCAACACCTCATTTATGAATTCCATGGGCATATGTTGAGATGTATAATCCTTTCAGAAGAAAAGTAGGTGAGATGAATTCCAGAAGTGCCTACCAAGTCCCCTTCTCTAACCTGCCTCTGCTTTACTCCTACAGGTGGAAGTGCCCAAACTGCTTCAGTAAGACCAGGCTGCGGGCTTCACCTCCCAGGGCTACATAGACCCTGCCCACCCCACCTGACTGACCTGCTGTGGATGTCCCCACTCTGCCATGGGAGAGCTGGAGGCCTGGGCTATGCTCAAAGAAGGATGCCTATATCTCTTCTCACCTTCCTTTTCTTGTCTCTGAGGCTCTTCAAATATTCTTTTATGTGGAGCTGAGGTTTCTAGATGAGAAGAGTCCTTTTACTATGTCACTGAGAAGATGGCACTGTGCTGGACCCATGTAGCTGGCAAGCCATGGATGGCCTGTGATCCAGGAAAGATGTCCCGCAGGGACCACATAACCACCCAGCCCCACTGCCCACCAGGGCCAGGATTCAGGCCTCTGAGGAGCCCTTAGGGCAAAGCCACTGGGCAGTGGAACTCTGTGTGGGGCAATGGTAGTAGGACTTAGAGGACATGGGGCCTGAGGAGGAAGTGGGGAGGGCTGAGGATACCCCCAGGCTAAGCAGAGCACATGGCAGGGGCAGCTGCCCTGGATGTACAGTGCCTGGTGGAGAGTGGGCTCCAGAGAGGAGGAGAGGGACACAAGTAGCTGGATCTGGAGGCTTGATGCCAAAGCAGACATTTTCCTCACACCCATCTGCTGTTGTATAAATAGCTGTGTATCTGTTTTTCCATAAGATTTTGATAATATATACAAACCTTAGCTGTGAACGGCTGTGGTCACATCTGCCCCCAGGGCCCAGATGCATGCCCTTGTTGTCTGGAGTCATCAGCTGGAGCCACTCGCCGGGCTGATGATGCCGAGTGGAGCTCTGAGATGGCTATATTAGGCATGTTCAGGGGATGATCAGCCCATGACTCTTCCAAACTGTGGGCTTGGGGCCAGCTCCCCACAGCAGTCACAAGCCCAGGAGGGCAGCCATCTCTGAGCAGGCACAGAAATGGAGTGACCATTTGGGGAGCAGCAGTCAGGAGCATGAGAATATGATCTCGTCACCCCCCAGCCCTTCCCCTACTTCCTAAGTTCACTCCTTGCCCAAGTTTTAGGCCCCCCTTTTGACTTGACAGTGTCCTCAGGCCCACCCACCATTGGGTTACATCAAAAGCATCTTTCTGACTTTTGTTGGCTTGAAGTTGCTGCCTCCTCCCCCCCCGGGTGCTGTGGAACTGCCACCTTGAATGTGGATCACTAGTCAGTTTTTCTGTTTTCTAGATCTTGCTTCAGTGTCAGGAAACAACCATTTCAATGTCTTTGGGGTCTCTATGCTAAGCAGGCTGTGTCTGGGAGCAAAGAGCTCAAAGCCCAAGGTTCGTCCTGCATCCCTCCCCACTACCAGTTACCTTTCCTCTGGTAGTCTAAGCCAGGGCCGGGATCAGGAGCAGTGAGACAAATACTTGTTGGCTCTAGGACCTCAAAGGGTGTTAGCTAGCTTCAGTGAAATAGTAATGCTTTCAGCTGCTAACCAAAAGGTTGTTGGTTCAAACCCACCCAGAGGATCTTTGGGGGAAAAAAGACCTGGTAATCTACGGGAGTCCTGGTATGGCTCTGTGGGTTAATGCACTGGACTGCTAAATCAGTTTGAACCTCAAGGGCGGCAGTTCAAGCTCACCAGCTGCGCCTTATAAACCTGATACAGGGTCACTATGGGTCAGAACTGACTTGACGGCACTTAACAAAAACAATCCACAGGAGGGGAAAATGAGGCTATCAGCTCCTATAAAGATTTACAGCCTTGGAGGCCCTGGAAACCCTATACAGGGTCGCTGAGTCGGAACTGACTCAGCAGTACTCTAGCGCCCCCAATCTGCTTCTGTAAAGATTACACTCAAGAAATCCCTATGAGGCCCTTCTACTCTGCTGCATGGGGTCAGGTCACTATGAGTCCAAATCAATGGCACTTAACAACATGCCCGTCCAGAGCTTCCACTTACCCTGTGCCTACCATCACCAGGCACTAGGCTAGATGCTTTAGGTACTTGGGCTGATCTTTACAACTCTGTGAAATGGAGGCCAACAGTATCCCCATTTTGCAGGGAAAGTTCAACCAGAGGTTAAGTACCATCAGGTTGCTAATGAAAGGCTGAGTTTAGGTCTTCAATCCCTTGAGCTGCTTCAGGTGTAACGGCCCCTTCCTCCCTTTATTGAAATCAGACTGGTTACAGTGCCCCAGGAAAGAAATTGCAGATGAAACAAACCCAATCAATCTCCAAATTTTAAAGCTCCAGTGCAACCTGTAACCTTTGTAGTCAGAGAAAAGAACCACTTCTCGTACCCTCCTTCCTCCACTCTCCTTGAGGGCACGGCCCCCTCCCAGGTGTTACTACTTTGGTACATTTGAACCTGATTTCACCTGGATCAACACTTTTCTGCGTAGGAGAGCAGAGACTGAGACCTCCAGGGCGTCTGGATCTCTGGAGTGCCGCGCCCCCTGGGGGCAGAATGAGTCCCCGGTTCTCCCGCTGTCCTGGGGGGATCTGGGCTGCCCTAGCAGCCCAGGGAGCCTGTGGAAGCAGGGGTGGGCCTGCTTCCAGCCCGCAGGAACCTGAGGGCACCCAATCCAGTAGCCCATTCAGCGGTGCATGTGGCCAGCTCCATCCTACTATAGAGCTGCTTGGGGAGCGCCTCCTCGAGCCTTCTAATTGGCAGACGGACCTGCTGACAGAGAGAAAGGAGCCCACATTCGAGGGCACATGACAGCAATGCCACCTGCCTGGTTTTCCTTCATGACAAGGATCTACTTGCCTCTAGCACACGCCTCTTATAGGGAAAAAAATGGGGCTCCAAGAAAAGTGTAAATGATTTGTCCAAATTGATGAATCTGGACTCAAACCTACATCTTGTCTCTTGGGCTGTCCTACGTCACTGGCCTGCCTGCAGCCCCTACCAGGTGTTCCCTTCATGCTGTCCCACTTAGCTCGGCCTCTGTTTCCAAGTGGTAGTGATGATGTGCTATAGAGTAGATTCCGACTCATAGCCACTCCGTATAGGGTTTCAGGAGCTATAAGTCTTTATGAGAGCAGAAAGCCTCATCCTTCTCCTGCTGAGCAGCTGGTAGTTTCAAACTGCTGACCTTGAGGTTATTTCCAAGGGTCACCCTCAATGTCTCTTGACCTAGGGACGGCTTCACATCCTACTTTCCAGCCGGCAGAGTGAGACTGCAAGCTAGTTGTACAAATCACAGGCCTCAGAAAAAGCACCCTCTCCTGCCTCTTCTCTGAGCTCCAGGGACGCCAGGGTTAGGACCAGGGCTCTGGCGCTGGCTTTGGGTGAGATGGTTGGCACCAGGGACTGCTGTGTCCATGCTGTCTCCCTGCACCGGAACTTCAACGATCCCCTGCTGAACTCTACTTCCTTCCCACCTCCATGCCTGGGTAGACCCCAAGAATGCAGTTTATGTAAAAAACAAACAAACAAACAAAAAAACCACTTTCCATCTAGGCCTCTGAATCCCTCACCCACCCGAATGCTCAGTGACCCTTCTCAGTCCTGCAAGGTCCCATTTTCCCAAGTGCAGTCCCCAATCCTTGAGGGCTGCTGTCCCCTTATATCACACATTTCTCCTTGTCCTTACAGGGTTTTTAAAGGGTTCTGGTTGAAGAACAAAGTGATTCAAAGAGGTCGTACTCCCCTGGTCCTGCTGGGCTATCCTTGTTCCGGGGTGATGAGCCCATGGGGATGGGGTCCAACTTATAGTGACCCCAAAGAGCAGAGGACTGCTCCTTAGCTTTCCCAAGACTGACGGGAGCGGCTTCATTTTTTTACCCAAGGAGCAGCTGGTGGGCTTAAATCACAGATCTTTTGGTTAGCAGCCCAACACTTAACACACTACACCAGATGCGCTCCTTTCCATATTGGAAAGTAATTTTTCATTGACCCCAGGATTTTGATTCAAGGATAAATTATTTTGACTTGCATAAATGTACACGCTCATTTCTCAGGGAAATTACGAAACCCCCTACAATTCTCCATTGCCCCGCTTCAAGAAAGAGCACTAGGAGACCTGACAATCCTCTCTGCTGGATGTGAAGGCTCCTGGTGCCCCAGAAGCCCCCTGCGGTCTCCACCCTCAAAGAGAAAGCAGATGCATAGTTGTGGACCCAGTTCTGTCCCCAGCAACCTCAGGTGACCCTCCCTGTATGAGTCAGGTCCAATGGGCAGACTACGGGCCCCTTGAAGAGTTCACTGGGAAGGAGGCTGAGAATCTGAATCCAGGCAGAGTCAAGACCCCCAATTCTGCCTATGGAAGGAGTTTCTGACCTTGGCCCTAAAGCAGCTGGCCCAGAAATGCCTGCCTTCAGGGAAGTGTGAGCAGAGCCCTCCTAGACTGTGGGGGTGGTAGAAAGAAGGTCCTGGGGGCATGGCCAGCATTCCAACCAATTCAGATCCCAGCTGGAAAAGGCTGCAGGAGCTCAGAGGCCTCAGGAAGAAACTGAGGAGCAGGGCCCAATGCTGAGGTGGGGCAGAGACCTGAGGGAGGCAAAGCAAGATGGTTTGCCAAACTTAACTGGTACTTGTCCCTCTTAAAATCTATGCAATCCCCTCCCCGGATCTATCCCAGACAGTTACAGAGACCACAAGGACACGGTCCCAGGGAGCAAGGTAAAGGAAGTGCCAGATTGCCTCTTCTTGGCAGAATTTGTGGGAGAAGGGAGAGAATAAAATCAGGTTGCCTGGCCTGATAGGGACGGGCAACGAGGTAGCTCTAGGGGACCTGATGTCTTAGTGTCCCTGAGGATAGAAGCACCTGCTCTTGCACCTGTCTGAGTGACATGCCACCTCTTAGGCCTAATAGCATCCTTGTACATCACAGTTTACCCTCATGAAACTCCCGTGGTGGATCATTCCCAGTCTACAGAGGAGGAAACAGGTGTGCGGACCTTTAGAGACATGCCCAAGGTCAGACAATGGCAGAGTCCAAATTTGAATCTAAAGGTCCCTCAATGAGCTCCCTGGGTTATACAAATGATTTGTGCTCAACTACTATGATTTGAGCTCTGGTAGCGTAGTGGTTACGAATTGGGCTGCGAACCGGAAGGTCAGCAGTTCGAAACTACCAGCTGCTCCGTGGGAGAAAGATGAGGCGATCTGCTCCCGTAAAGATTTACAGCCTCGGAAACCCTATTCAGGTTCGCTATGGGTCGAAACCGACTTGACGGCACTTAACAACAACAACTATTTTAAAGGTTTGTGGTTTAAACCTACCTGAAGGCCCAGCAGAAGGAAGTCCTTGCAGTCTGCTTCAGTAAAGATCACAGCCAAGGAAACCCTATGTTTTTCTATTCTGTAACACACAGAGTCACTATGACTCGGAACCAACTCAACCATCAGCTGTTTTTGTTGTTGCTACTGAATTGGGGAAGGAGCTCTGGTTGTGTTGTGGTTACGAGTCAGGCTGCTAACCTCAAGGTCAGCAGTTTGAAACTACCTGTGGTTCTGCGGGAGATGAGGCTTTCTGCTTCCATAAAGATTTATTATCTCGGAAACCCTTTGTAGGGTCACTATGAGTCAAAATCGACTCCACAGCACACCCCCACCATCATCACCACCACCATTGAACTGGGGAAGATGTAGTTATACAGGTAGCAATGCCTTTGACAGTCCATGAGGCCTGACCCCTAGTGGGAAATCTCAGTAATGCAAATGAGCACACTCTTTCCCCAACAGAAAAACCAAACTCACTGCCATCAAGTTTATTCCGACTCATAGGGACCCTATAGGACAGAGTAGAATTGCTCCTTAGAGTTTCTGAGACTGTAAGACTGGAGCAGATAGTCTTAACTTTCTTCCTTAAAGTGACTTGGAGGTTTGAACCACTGACCTTGTGTTTAGTCTCTTCCCAGCTATGGCAACATCCACCTCAGTGACTTTGGGAATCAGTCCACCGACCCCTAGCCTGGGTTGGTTGTGCCTGTGGATGTGGCTAGAGCAATGAGGTGCCCCAGCCCTGCTGCCTGCCCTCCTTCCCTGCTTTTAGGAGATAAAGACTCTGCAGTCTGGCCCAGTTGGAAGCAGTGCTACCAGGTGTGGATGGGTCCAATGATGGGTCCAATTACGAGCTACATTTTTACAGCTTTAATCTAGCAGGCCAGAGCCCCGGCCAGTGGGGCCGCCCAAGAGGAGGGCTACTGCTAACTGCTGATGGAGCTGCCCCATTGTTCCCTCATCCCATCCCAGAGTGGGTAAACAGGAGGGACCCCAACCTTCCTGGCAGAGATCCTGGGAGTAGAAGGACTATTTGAAAGCAGGGGCTGTGACCCAGACAATCCTCTCCCTCTCCTGCCCCCCAATAAAAAAAAGTCCACCAATCCCAAGTCCTCCCCACCCAGCCACCAATCATGGCTTAGTTTCCAGCTCAGTTCCCACTCCATTTCCCTGGGGCTCTGTCCCCCCAGGGCTTGACTTGTTCTGGGGTCTGATGATTAAAGGACCCCTGCCCACCCCCAAGGTCAGATGCAGGTAGAGAGGATGAAGCATCTCCCAAGGCTGATGTCACTGGAGGGGCAGTGGAGACACAGCTGGCTCCTCAGGCTCCAGGGTAAGAGGGCTGTGGTGGCATGTAGGGGGGAGGAGCTGAAAGCCAAGGAAACAAAGTGAAGGTCGGTGGTGGGAACAGAGGATGTGAAATGCCCCTCCCCTCCACCTAACACTCCCTCCCTCTCCCAGCATGCAGGACCCATGGGGAAGAGCTGGTCCAGAGGTTTCCAGTTGAAGATGGATGAAGTCTGGGAGAGGAAATACCGGGGGTGAGGGAGGAACAGGGGAGGTCCCAGAGCAGTGTCTGGGGAATAGGCGGGAGCAAGAGGCTCCAGTGGGCTTACTTACCTGCAGGATTGTAGATGGGGGGTCCAGCTGGATAAAATGGACACTGCGGAGCAGGACCACTAGGTGGATACATGAAGCCAGGCTGTGGGGGTGCAGGGCCGGCTTTGGGGTCCTGGGGGTATGGGTACATTGGCTGCACTGGGATGCCTGTCATCGGAATCTCCTGGCCTAGGTGGGGGACAAGAATGAGCACTCAGAGCTCCACCACCTAAAGAAACCAAGGTAAGCACCCTGGGGCTGTTGTCCTCTGACAAACTCAGGCTGTCCAGTCCCTTGCTTGACAGAGCTCCGCTGGGTGTTGTTCAGGTAGCTCCAACTGGTCCCTCTGAGTTGAGCACATGTGCTCCCCTCAGCAAGCTTCAGAGACCTCATGGGCCAGAGACGACAAGCTGGGGAAGGGGGGCGGCAGGCAGCTCCAGGGGTGGCTATCTTGTGATCCAGCAGAGCTGCCAACAAGAGTCCTACCCAAGCCCTACTCTCCCACACTGACCCCTACATGGTGTCACAGTCCCCGTGCCCCACAGGCTTGGGCATATATAAGCATGCCAACACTCACACTAGTGCACTAGTGCACACCCAATTAATAGTCACTGCCATAGAAGTCAGGGTTAAGTGCTCAGTTATTAGCCAAAAGATTGGTGGTTCAAACCCACCCTGTGGAGCGTCAGAAGACAGGTCTGGTGATCTGCTTCCAAACAGAGCAATTCTACTCTGCAACACATGGGGTACTTATGTACTTACTAAGAATCATGTGCATGCATGGACCACTGCACACACAGGCCACTGTGGAAGACTGCCTCCCATATATATCTGAATAGTCATGTGCATACCCAATGTTTAGATATGCCAATGGGGCACATTCTAACACTTTTCTGGGTTTATATGTTGTAGGTATGAGTATACAGAAGCATACGTTACTACAGAATTCACAAATTCTGTAATTCTCTGGTGCCCACCAGGAAGCTCAGACCAGCCCATCTCAGGCCCACCTTGCCCAGGACCATGTGTACCTTCAAATGGGCTCTGCAGCTGCTGGCGCCGGCGGTACAGGTAGCAACAGGAACAGAGAAAGCAGCAGATGGTGGTGGCAACCACAGCGACAAAGAGGATCACAGCTGAGGCGATGCCTGCTATGGTCTTGGGACTTTAGACAAAGAACAGGTCCTTTCACCTTCCGACACTCATAGGAGGACATCCTCATTATGATGACCATAACTGTGCTCCAACTTGTGGCCAGCAGGGGGCCACAGCCTGCTGGGGTTTGGCGTTCCTTGAGGGGCTCTGCCCAGTGACTGTCCCTGTGGAGGAGATCTTAGGGGACCTCCACTTCCCAGAGGGCTCTACTGCCAGACTGGTTAATGTGAGGCATGCTGGGATTTGTAGTGCTCCCCTCTCTAATTGCTCCTACACCTTCGACTTAATTGATTAGACTTAAAACATGGTAGCACTGGGAGGAGCCTTAGAAATAATAGAACCATCTTTTTCAAACCCCGGTTAATTATTAGCAGTCCTTAAAAAATGAGGTTTGAAAACCATTAATTTTGTCAACCTTCTTATTCTATGAAGAGGAAACATTGACCTCTAGAAGGAACAGTACTGGGGATGATCACACAGTTAATAAGAAGTGGACCTGGGAATCAAACCCAACTCTTGCGCCTTAGTGCCAGAGCTTTCCCCACAAAGCGACACTGTAAGTCTAGGTGTTAATGGTGCCCTCTCTCCACAAGGCAACAGGAAAGTAAGGACTCCAGAAAGAACCAAAAAATCCTTAGACCAACCCAAGCCTGCAGTGGAACTTTCAAGCTCCAACACTAAACCATCCAGCTTCTAGCCTCAAGCTGGATCCAGTCCTGGGTTTCAGCTAGGAATGTGGAGGAGGACAATGGAGAGGAGGTAGGGGCTGGGAGGAAGGAAAGACTGGCCCAGGGAGGCCTCCTGAGAGGAAGAAATGGAGAAAGGGATGTGGGTGAGGACGCAGAAGCCCACCTGAAGGCCAGGCAGTGCTTCTGCTGCCTTTCTGTGATGAGCAAGGTCAGGTCCCTGCAGCAGTACCGCTGGTAACAGGTCCCGCAACAGAAGGTGAAGAACTCGCAGTCAAACCCTGGATGCCAGGAGCCATTTCGATCCAAGTACCACAGACAGTCCTCTCCGGCCAGCGCTGTGGGCAGGGGTGGGGATGCCCAGTGGTTGGCCAGGCCAGTTCACCTCCAACCTCCTCTAGCCCCACTCTCCCGTGGCTCCCAGCCCGCTGACTACCAGACACGGGACTGCCTTCTGGTCTCCACCTTGAGGGTCTCAGTCCCCAAAGGCCTCTCGTTAGACCGAACCCCGCGTCCCAGGAACAGCTTCCCATGGCCCAGCCCTGGGTCCCTCACTCCTTCCACTCCCTGCTGACCCCACAGAATCCAGAGTTCCAGCGGCACCACCAGGGCTCCAAAGAGCCCCGCTTCAAGACGCCTGTGGTTAACCCCTCTTCTCTCCTCCCTCCACCAACCTCGCTTCCCATCCCCTTACCCAGGGGACTCCCCAGCACCAAGAAGGCAAATGCAGCGAGAGGCGCAGCCCCACAGAGCCCCGCGGGGGGCATGGTGGGGGTTGGGCCCCGGCCGTCGGGAGAAGGGACCGCTGGACCTAGCGGGAGCTGCAGCGGGGCCCAGGGCGGCCAGCTCCGGACTCGTCGCCCGCCTCTTCTGGGGGTGGGACTAAGCGCCCAGCCAGCGGTAACCCTGCCCGCGCCGCACCGTGTACCGCCCAGGGCTCCGCCCACACCCAGCCCTGACTCGGAGCTGGACGCCCCTCACCCAACTCGACAATACCTCTATCACTGAGGTTCACAGCAACTCCTTCCGTCCGAACTACCGTGGGCACAGCAAGCCGCCCCTGCACGCCCCCCTCCTCGTGTCGGATCGTCAATATGTCGGAGCCCTGGTTCTGTTGTCATCTACGAATGCTTAGGGATATGGCCGACCCTAGAGGGGCCAAAGAGGACCCTCCCTTCTGCTCCAGTGTCTAGCCCGGGATGTCCTGCGGGGGGTGCGGGGGTGGAAAGGAGGCAGTAGAGGAACGACTGAGAGTCACCCCACCCCCACTTCCAGAACACAGGCACCCATTGAGAGGCAGCTCAGAGCGGCTTTGTCCCCAGCTGGGCCCACAGGCCAACCCTTGCCAGCTGCCCTGGCTCCCTGAGATGGCCCCTTCCCCCTTTGAGTGGACAAGGCTGGCACTCACCAGCCCATGCAAGGATGGCAGGACACTGGGGCTACCTCGAGTCTGTGCAGTCAGACACCCTTCACAGTGCATTCCCAGGAGAAATTCACAGAGCAATCCTGAAGAAATACTGCATTAGCCACAAGAGCACAAATTAATCAGAAGTGGTGATAGTGTTTTACGGTTGGAGGAGTCAAGCAATCCACTCCTACATTTATATGTGCATCAATTTATATGTGCCAGTGACTACTCCACAGTATCCTGACAGGGAACAAATTAAAGGAGAGAGGAAATCAAAAGCGTAATTAATACCCTAACCATGGTTCAACCTTTTACAAACCATTGGTATATCTCATTTGAGGGTCTCCACAAGTCCTTGAACTAAGAGAGGTTGACAGGGGTTATCACTAATCCCATTTTACAGATGGAGAACTAGGGTTCAAAGAAGCAGAAGAACTTGCTCAGGTAATGGCAGGCAGTAAACTGCAGAAGCAACACTGAGACTCAAGTCCAAAACCGCAGAGCCCACCTCCTCCCTCAACCCCAACAGTAGATGGCACAGACAATGAGTAGACTTTCTGGTGTTCTTGGCTGAGGGAACCAGGGTAGGGCACAGAAAGCCCAGCAGAATCCAAATAGGTTGGAGGAGAGCTGTGAAAATAGGAGTGGCCCCATCCTGGGCCTGTTGTAGACACGGACCCACCCATGCAGGAGAACTGGAGTAAGTAAAGGCTAGGTAGCTGCCCCAGGAAGTTGCCAGTGGTCTGATGGGTTGGTGAGAGACACACAGTTAACAGTCACAAATGTAGCAGCAAAGGGGCAAAGAAAGACATCTCTCAATTTACCACCTCCTACACACTGCCCATTCCCATCCATTTCCTTTTCACTAGACCACAAGCTCCATGAATGCAGCTGTGTTCACATGGTTCCCAACCCTAGTACTAAGTGGCAGTCACTGTTGGTTGACTCAGATGAAAAACTGTCTTTCCTTCTGTCCAAGGCTCATCCTTTTACGTGTACAGTTAACCCTATCTGGTCTCTCTCTTTGTATCCCTTCTTTTCAGTGTCTTTAGTCTGTCCCTCCTTATAGCCTCTTCCCTTTTTTATATGTTGTTGTTGCTGTTAAGTGCCGTTGAGTCGGTTCAAACCCACAGTGACCCTGTATAGGATTTCCAAGGAGCAGCTGGTGAGCTTGAATCACTGACCTTGAGGTTCAAACTGACTTTGCAGTCTGGCGCATTAATTCATAGCTCCACACCAGGACTCCTTTTTATGTTAGGTGCCAGCAAGTTGGTTCCAACTTCTAGTGATCCCAAATATAACAGACTGGAACACTGCCTAGCTTTGCACCGTCATCACAATCATTGCTATATTTTAGCCCATTGTTGCAGCCACTGTGTCAATCCATCTCTGAAGTTCTGCATCAAGCATGATGTTCTTCTCCAAGGACTGGTCCCTCCTAGTAACATGTCCAAAGTATGTAAGACAAAGTCTTGCCATGCTTACTTCTAAGGAAATATATTCTAACCATATAGTTCCCACAGTATTGTTCTCTTCTGGCAGTCCTTGGTATAGTCAATACTCTTTGCCAACACTTTAATTTAAATGCATCAATTCTTCTCCAGTCTTCTTTAGTAAGTGTTCAGTTTTTGCATGCATAAGAGATCACTGAAAATACTGTGACTGGGTCAGGCACTCCTTAGTCTTCAAAGCGATATCTTTGCTCTTTAACTAATGAGATCTTCTGCAGATTTGCCTAATACAACACTTAGTTTGATTTCTTAAAAAAAAAAAAAAAAGACCTTATTATTGTAAATTCATTAAAGGTTTACAGAACAGATCACTAGGCCACAGGCAACAAATCATGCACTTGTTGTCTATACAATGATTGCAGTTTCTTCCATGTACCAACTGTTAATGGTATTTACCTCTATTCACTTTAACTCGTGTACTCCTCCATGTCTCCCACTACCTTCATCTTTCCTAGGTCAACCTCCTTGTTGTATATTGCCTTCCCCATTACCCAAGTTAACATGTGTAGGAGTCCTTGTGTGGCACTGTTGGGTAAGCACTGGGCTGCAAGGTCAATTTGAACTGCAGGGTCAGTGGTTCAAACTCATCATCCACTCCTCGGAAACAAGGTCACAATGAACTGACTCAATGGCACTTACTCCTCTACTCAGTGAATAATATCGCCTCCCACCATCGGTAACCATCATATAATGTTTCTTTTAGCAAGAAAACCTTTTCTTACCTTTTTACAAATACAAAAAAACAAAACAAAAAATAATATTTGCCCTTTTGTGATTGACTAATTTCACTCAGAATTACATCTTCCAGGTTTACCCATGCTATGAAGTGTTTTGCAGATTCATCAGTATTCTTCAATATTGCATAATATTCCACTGTGTGTATGTACCCAAATTTGTTTAACCATTCTTCTGTTGAAGGCCATTCAGGCGGTCTCCACCATTAGCTATTGTGACTAGTGCTGTAATAAACATGGGTGTACAATACATCTATTTATGTCTGTCTTAGGCTAGGTTTTCTAAAGAAGCAAAATCAGTAAAACTTACTGTTGTTGTTAAGCGCTGTTGAGTCAGTTCTGACTGACAGTGACCCAGTATAGGGTTTCTGAGGGGCAGCTGGTGAGTTTAAACTAATCACCTTGAGGTTCAAACTGACCTTTTGGTCCAGTGCTTATTCTATAGTACCATACCAGGACTCCATGAAACTTATACATGTACATGTATAAAGAGACATTTTATATCAAGGAAATGACTCACAAATGTAGACTTCCAGGTCCCCAGTAGAAGAAAGCAGGCTTTGCCTGCATGTTCATTATACTGGGAGCAGGTCACGCTCTCAAGGAAACATCCTTTCAATTGATTGGCTCATCATACAGTTAACTATGCCTGTAATTACGTTTCATCACTATGGGAATAAGTACATCTCAACTGCCAGACCACTGGGAATCCTGGGCTGGTCAAGTTGACCCCAAACCCTAATTATCACAATGTCACAGCTCTTATTTCTTAAGGATATATACCAAGTAGAGGGTTTGCTTTGTCAACTTGGCACCTATAAACCATATGCAGAATCTCTAAATAAAGAAACTGTAAAGTCATACTTGACATATTATCAGGAGGATAAGTGCCTGGAGAAGGACATCATCCTTGGCAAAGTGGAGGGTCAGTGAAAAAGAGAAAGATCCCCAATGAGATGGATTGGCACAGGGTAGCCGCAACGGGCTCAAGCGTAGCAATGATGGTGAGATTGGTACAGGACTGGGCAGTGTTTTTGTTCTGTTGTGCATAAGGTTGCTGATTCTGTACCAACTCAATGGCACATACCAAAAATAAAAGTCATACTTGCACCTAACATTTTGTGACTAAAACGCATACAACTGAAAATACACTGGCCCCGTTTACATCTTATATTTCACAAATGAACAAAGTAAAAGTATTTGATATACACAAAACTAAACTGTGAAGCAGTGTTCATACATGCCTCCACCCCACAACTTTCTTTACTAGTGAAGGCAGCATTATCAATGCATATAAAATTTGTCAGATTTGATAATCAATTTAGAAAACTCATTCTTGTGAGTTTGTTTCTCTAGAATCCCACTTGCTCAGTACCATGTCTTAGGCTGGGTTCTCTAGAGCAACAAAACCAGTGAAACTTATATATGTACATATATAAAAAGAAATTTATATCAAGGAAATGGCTCACAATTGAAATCCCAGGTCCCCAGTGGAAAAGAAGATGTTTTGCATATCCATTATACTGGAAGCAGGCCACACCCCCAACTAGTTGGTTGTTCACAGCCAATCATCATAAAGTTAACTATACCTGTATTAGGTTTCATCACCATGGGACTAACCACATCTCAACTGCCAAACCACTGGGAATCCTCGCCCAATCAAGCTGACCCAAAACCTTAATTACCATAATGTCACAGCTCTTATTTCTTGAGGATATATACCAAGTAGAGGGATTGCTGGGTTATACAGTTTTTCTATTTCAACCACAGTGGTTGCACCAGTTTATAGTCCCACCAGCAGTGTAGGAAGGACGGTTCCTGTCTTTCTACCATAACCTCATCAACATTTGGTTTCTTCTTCTAACTTTTATTATCAATGCTGAGGTAAGATGATATCTCATTGTTGCTTTGATTTGCTTAATCAAATGACTAATGGTCTTGAACATTTCCTTATGTTTCTTGGTCACCTGAAGGTCTTCTTTTAGTGAAATGTCTGTTCATGCCCTCTGTCCATTTAAAAACTGGACTATTTGTCTTCTTCGTCTTGAGGTGTTGAAAAGTTTTATTCTAGTCTATGGGGTCTCTTTTTTACTTTTCTGGTGAAATCTTTTGATGCACATCATGTGTAATTTTTAGCAGGTCCATGTCAG